CATCGAGTCTGGGAATCAGATGCACAACCGATTTTAATGCAAATATAGGCATAATGGAATAAGAACTGAAAGGGATGTATGCATGGAGCCACTGCAGGGACCCAGAGATGGGACTATTGATTTGGATTCACAAGGTCAGGAAGGGACTCAGAGCGGCTGGTGTCTGACCAGGCTATGTAGCAGGGCTACATTTTGAATAGCAGAATCCAACCAGGAAAGTAGAAACTGTAGGTATGGGTTTAAAGCCATTGCGTAAGGACATCCGAACAGAATATTTAGATAATTTGTTGATGACAAGAATTCCCTTCAGACTTTCTATTTCAGAAGTCCTAGGAATGGGCGATGGGTATTTGCATAGTGATAAAACACTCCCCTACCTTCCCCATCCATGTGATTCTGATGAGCATCTTTGATTGACTGAGCCAATTCTCTTAAACCATTTCCTGGCTTTAGCATATTTATAATTTGGGAGATCTTGGGCAGACCCCATAGCACAGTGAGTAGTTAAGGGAGCAAGATCCTCCATGGCCAACCACAGTTCAAATCCTGGCCTTGGTGGCTTGCAAAATACACAAGATATGTGTGCATGTGAGTCCCAAATCCAAACAGGATGTAGAAATGGAGGAGAAAGGATTGCATGATTACACCCAATTGGAAGGTGCTTTCTCTCTCTCTTTGTCTCTCTCTGGTGAGCACACACAACCTCTGGTAATTAAAAAATAATTGGAGAGCTCATTAAAATACTATTCCTGGACACATCATTTTTTAAAAATTTTATTTAACTTTACATGTTTATTTATTTAATTTAATTAGACCAGAGAGGGACAGAATGAAAGAGAGAGAGATAGCAAGAGAAAAAGCTAGAAAGTGAGAAAGCAAGCTGCTAGGTCTGGGACTCAAACTGTGGTCAGCCATGTGGGAGTCCAACACCCTTAACCACCACACCACCTGCTGGCCCCCCAGACACATCTTTCAAAGCTTCTGTTTCAGAGGTTTAGAATGAGGCCTGAGAGTCTGCATGTCTAATACACTCTCAGCTCATACTGGTGCTGTGGGTCTATGGAGCACACTTTGAGTAGTAAGTCTCTAAACCATCATCTGGCTCTTTGGTTCTTACTGGGGTAGTGTCACCCAGAGTTAAGAAGTACCCTTAATTAGAAAATGGTTTTGATAACAAATGCATGTTTCTTTACTGTGGACCACTAAGAAGTCATCCATACTCATCATCTTGAAACTGCCTGCCCACACAGGTAAAATAAGAAGGACCCACCCGTGGCCTCAATTCTTGCTTCCACTTGACTCTCATTCCCCTGTGGCCCCTGCATCTTAGTTCTGTTTCAGTATCTGCACATGATCTGTAAAACTCTCCTGAATCTGGTGCATCCTGCTCCCATCTCAATGATTTTTTTTTTTTTGAGAGAGATTTTGTTACAGGGCACATGCACTTGCTAGAGAGACAAAAAGTGAGAAATCACCCCCTGGCCGGGTGGTGGTGGGGGTGGCCATGCCACAATTCCTTCTCCTCCATTCTCCTCTTGAAATTTTGGCATGTACACACATACACCTGGCATGAGTTTAAGCCACTGGGTCTGGGACTTGAACCACACACATGCACCTGGCATGAGTTTAAGTCCGAGGTCTGGGACTTAAACCATGGTTGACTATGTGGGAGTCCAGGGATGTAAACACTATGCTACCTGCTGGTTCATATCCCAGTGATTGATTGATTGATTTATTTATTTATTTATTTATTTATTTATTTATTTATTTATTTATTTATTGGAGAGGTTTTTCAATAGAGCGTGTACGCTCTCCAGAAAGACAGAGAGAGACAGAGAGTCAGAAAGTGAGAAATCACCCCTCAGGGGGGATGGCCATGTTGTAATCCCTTCTCCTCCATTCTCCTCTCAGGATCCTAGGCGCACACTCACATGTGCCCGGCATGAGTTTAAGCCACCAGGTCCGGGACTCAAACCATGGTCGACTGCATGAGTCCAGTAATATAGCCATTATGCCAACTGCTGGTCCCAATATCCCAGTGATTTTTAAGAAAATGTTCTGGATCTTATTATCTTTCCCTCTGAGTCCAAATCCTAGCCAGTCCACCTGATGCCCAGCAAAGAGATGGTGTGGTGACAGCAGATTAGTCAGCTCAGAGATCAGCAGATCTGAGCGTGTTCAGCATGCTTTCTCTCCAATACTCACTCTAGAGAGAGCTGTACAATGACTTTGGGTCATATTTGTCCTTTATATGTTTTTGATCAGCTTCACTTCTGAAAAAATATCACTCACAGGAGCAATTTGTGGTCATTAGTGTAAGAGAACTCTTCACAGCACTTTTTGTGTTAGGAGAAATTACCTGGACAGGACTGTTGAGCTAGCTGACCCTGGGATTTGGTCATTTCAACGAGTTAGCTGTTGACAGATGACACCTGCTTTGTAGGGATTTAGCACAATAGGCCTTGCACTATGGTTCACTCATGGCATATTAATTCAGTGGATCTTAGCTGGCTCTCTTCCTTTGGCACTGAAAAAAAGTCGTAACCTCATCAGAAAGACTTTTAGAAAATAGCTACATATTTCTTTATGTATACATGACTATTATATTTCATTTCTTTTAAGATTTGTCCTGCTTTTGGTTTTATCCTCTTTTTAATCATGTCTTTTGTGCCAAGAATAGTACTATAATATATGAGATGCTAGAAATGAAGAGATTGATTAGATTTCATCACCTGATTTTAAACTGTTCACAATTATTTTAGAAAGAAATGTGTACTGGGACCAGCAGTTAGCGTAATGGCTATGTTGCTGGACTCCCATGTAGTTGACTGCGGTTTGTGTCCCGGACATGGTGGCTTAAACTCACACCGGGTGCGTGTGCGTGCGTGCCCAAGATCCCAAGAGGAGAATGGAGGAGAAGGGATTGCGGCGTGGCCATCCCCTCTGGGGGGTGATTTCTCGCTTTCTGTCTCTCTGTCTCTGTCTGTATGGCAAACACATGCACCCTACAGCAAAAACCTCTTGAAAAGAAAGAAAGAAAGAAAGAAAGAAAGAAAGAAAGAAAGAAAGAAAGAAAGAAAGAACTGTAAATAACTAAGACTAGGTACTATGTACTCTTAGAGAGGTACTAAGTACAATGAAAGTACAGAAGAAGGGGTATTTATTTTTAGCTAGTGGAGAAAAGAAAGCTTTATGGAAAGCTTTCCTCTACAGGAATGGTCAGACTTTGAAAGATAACAATATCTCACTATGACGTAAGAAATACATGGCGATTAGCAGTATACAACTGCATCACAGCTCTCGGAGAGCCACAATAAGACTTTGACAATACGTATTATATTAACTGCAAATGTCTATTGAATGCTTTCTATATGTCAAGTGTTATGTTAAATAATTTATATGTATTATCTGATTTTTAAAAAGTTCATTCATTCATCACTTTCACAAACAAGCAAGAGAGACAAACAGGAATCCCCAACAAGGTCTCCATGTCACAATCCATTCCCAGCTTCAGCCAGCCCTGGATCATGGGCCCATGTGTAAGCCTGTTGTGACCAGGGAAGCTTCTGGGCACAAACCTGGAGCCCTCTCGCCATGCAGATCAGTGATACAGAGTGCTGTATCACTACTGCATCACTGTACAGCCCCTGTTACCTAGAGATTTAAATGTAAATTTTAAAGAATTAAATTTTAAAGATTTAAAAATGTAAAGAAATCTTCCCAAAACATCTTCAAAGTGATATTTTCCCATTTTACAGATGAAGAAACTGAAGATTAGAAAGATTAATTTGTTGAAGGTTATAGAGCTGAAATCTGAACCCACTAATTCAAACCAGTGACTTTTAACTGGTATTACTTTCATAACATCCAAGATGCACTGGGTAATTTGCATAAATTATCATCTCAATCTTTGAAATAATCCTACAAAGTAGATATTATGGCACCATATTACAGTGGGAGATTGCACATGCAGGAGGCAAATGGGAAAATTTATATCGCCATTAAATGGAATAGAAACCAGGTCTGTCTAAGCTCTAAAACCCATCTTCTTTTGAACATATCAGAGTCTTGCTTCTTAATTAATCTTTCAATGTTTTAACCCAAAGGGGAAACAGTAACCATGCGTGTTTCAGCCAAGCTGCTTGGCGAGGGCCTGTGCACTTTTGAAGTGGAATGATTGTTCATAGGACTGGAGGTGTGGAGAAGAAGCGAAGCAGGAAATAGGGGCTACACCAGTACCAGTAAGGAAAAGAGCCATTGAGGTTATTGTGGTAACTGACAAGAGATGGATTTGATAAGGTGATGGGGATTTGGCTAAAGGGTGTGGAATCCAGGAATTCTGGATTCTAGTCCTGACTTCTAATTCTGGCTCCAAAGCTGTGTGACCTTGGCTTAGTTACTACATCTTCTGAGCCCTGGTTTTTCAACGGTACAATGGGAATACTAGTAGCTTTCTTGTAGCTGCCGTGAGGAACAAGTGAGTCAGCCTACAGTGCAGAGGCTGACCCATGGGCATGTGATAATCAATAAGTACCATCTTGCTGCCTGTTTACTTTGGCTCCTGCTGGCTTTGATCAGGCTCTAGAGGAAAAGAAGCTAATTTCTTGAGCAGGAGGATCTGATTCAAAAAGGGAGGCCCTGGGGCAGGGACTGGCATGAGGGATTGTGGCATAATATCCATCTGTTTGGTTCTTTTTGCAGGCCAGAATGCTGGTTTCGGGAGCCTTCATTCAAGCACTAAATCCACCTAATTGGTTTGAAAAGCACTGGGTGAATAAACATCCTGTCAGCCCACCACTGTAATAACATTGGTGACATTTATGCCTGAGATGAAGGATGCAGGATGAATGGTGATCAGACCCCAGGTACCCTGCTGCAAATGACAGCCCAGATGAGGCACTCCCTGAATTAAGAAATGCTAGCCTCTGTGGAGCAGGGCACAGGGGCGGAGGCAGAGATGCACCCCACATGGGCATCTGGGCACTTAATGAAGAACTTACAGGTTGAATCAGGAAGTCAATCAGATTTGTCCATGGAGAAGTAGGATGAACCCCTGAATCCTGTGCTGGGCAAGGTATGTAACCTCTCTGACCTCTGGTTTCTGTCTGTGAGATGAACAAAAAATGAGAGAAAAAATGAGGAACCCTGTCCTGTTCCTTCTGAGCTTCATGTGTTTCAAAAATGTTGGGTCTTTCTTCCTTTCTTATCTCCCTTCTCCGGATTGTCTTCCTCCTAGGACCATGCTTTTCTTTGCTCCAAAGGGCCCAAGACTTGCACATGCCCCAGTAGCATATCTGGGGGGTGAGGGGGAGCACTCAGTTCATCCACTCATTCATCACTATCATTTTTTTCACTCATTTATCAATTATGTTTTTATTATCCAAAATGTGCTAGGTCCTAGCCAGATACTGAGCATGAGCACACAAAGATAAATCAGGTATCTCCTCTGACCTTGAGTTGTTCAGAGGTTAGCAGAGGTCAGATGCATTTTTATCAGACAGGGTCCCTATAAGAAACAGATGGGACATTCAGATTAAGATTATTCAAGAAGAGGGACTAGCTGATGGCATAATGCTTATGTCACTGGACTACCTCATGGCCTACTACGATTCTAGTCCTGGACCTGGAAACTTGGAATATGCCAGACTCATATGCATGCATGCCCAAAATCCTGAGAGGAAAATGGAGGAGAAGGAATTGTGGTGTGGTCATCCCCTTGGGGATAATTTCTTGCTTTCTGTCTTTCTGGCAAATACACCCCATAGCAAAAATCTGTCTTAAAAAATTATTTAAGAAGAGACTCTTTACAAGATTAATTATGAGGGGAATGGTTGGAGCAGTAGCAGTATTATTGTCACCACTTCCAGAGCTAAAGGGAAAAGGAAGGGAATGGACCCTGGAACCAAGCAACAGAGAGTGTGCACAGCAGGACACCTTGAAGGGGCAGTGATCTTCTGTCCAGTGACACAGCCAGCCCAAGATAACCTCACAGATAGGGAGGAAGCCTGACTTTGCTTCTCTCTTCCTCTGAGCTTCTTGGATGCTCTCCATTGACTGGCCTACCAGAAGCTCAAGGGCAGGTGCACCTATTGGTATGGTCCACAGAGGTCAACCTACCAAGGCAGGGGTGGACACTGGTCTTCAGAGGCAAATGCAAGATGTACAGCATGTGCTGGCATGATTAAGTACAATGGTGCACAACTCTAGAATGGTTAGCAATAAGAACAGGGAACTAGGAGCCCCAGCACGGAGGGAATAATTCCCACCAATCCTCTATCTTATTCCATTCCATTTAATTCCTGAATTCATGGGCTGGAGTTGATCTCCCTGCCTGGAAGGTTGTCTACCTCCAACCCTCTACAGGATAATTTCTTGTTATTCTCCTACCTCCTTCTCCTAATACTAAGAAGTTTACCTTTCCCTGAACAGTCAACACTCTCTTCTGGGCTTTTGAACCAGCCATTTTTCACCCCTGCTCCTCAACCCAGCTGAGACCACTTCCCCCTCCTCTTTGTCTGGTTAACTCCCTACTTACATAAAAAAAAAAATCGTGATCTACTTAAACATTCAGAAAGGTATAGAGAATAAAAATCAGACACCCACACATCCCTACCACTCGTATCTAATAAATGTTGAAATTTTGCCATATTTGCTTTAGATCTTTTTTTAAAAAAGAAATAAATCCTTGCAGAGACAACGGAAGCATCTGTTGTACTCTCTTCCTCCTTGTAACACTATTTTGCAGTTAGTGAGTGTTCACCTAACCATATTTTTATACTTTTGCTAGATACCTCTGTTTTAAAAATGTGCATAATTACCATTATATTATAGATGTCCCTTTATAGCTTTTCCCACTCAACATTATGTGGGTGCTTTGTTATTTTGGCTTTTTTGGTTGGATGTAATCTCAGGAGATTTTATTGTCTCCCCTCTAATGATAGTAATCAAATAATGATACCTGGAAACTCTCATTTTTTAAAAAAAATATTTGTTCCATGAGCAGTAGAGATAGAGATAGAGAGATAAAGAGAGAGAGAGACACATCATCCCCAATAAAGTCTTGACACCACAATCCACACCTAGCCTCAAAGCTCTGTACCACGGGCACACACATGCGAGGAGCACTCAGGGAGGTCTCTGGATGTGAACCTGGAACCTTCCCATGTGGGTTAGCCTCATGGAGTGTAAAATTTTACCACTACACTACCATCTGGTGATACCTAATCACTCTTGATGTAGGGAGAATGGCTTTCCCTGAAATTTCATAAGCTATTTCAAATGTTATAGTAACTTCCAACTCTTGTTACAACTTCTCACCTTCCCAGTGAACAATTTCGATGCTCACATTCCTATAATATTGTTGGGAGGGAAGGCACTTTTATCAAAAACAGGAAAAAGTGACTGCCACTGCTGCAGCTTTCACCTTCTCATCTGGGAGGCCTTCTCCAACCTTTCCTGTGTGATCATTTGCCTTCTGACCACCTCCAGATGTTCATAAACACTTCCAATTTTCTGGCAGTTTTGGTCCTTTTCCCATGTCTCACATCATCATATTTATCAACTTTTCCCAACTTACATAGGTACTACCTCTCAATGAAGGAAAAAATAGAAAGCTAGGAGACTATTATCTGATACCTCTGTTCACTCAATGAAGGAAAACATGGATCCAGCACCAAACATCACCTGATCCTATAGCAGCATTGACTTCAGAGTTCATACCATACTTGCTTAAGTATGCTGCCTGGAACACCCTGCTGGTTCCACAGAAGCCATTCTAACAAGGGTTTAACCAGAGGACTATGGAATATTATGTCAGAAGGGTTTCTCCTATTATCAGCCCCAGGGATCTTAAGAATACAACACCAACACAATCACCACTACTATCAAACTTACAATCAATGTTATGCTTCTGAGCTGTATCTATGGTTACACATATGGATCTGTTTCATTGATTTTATTTATTAAATCTTATTCCATTGTGCAAATATATCATGACTCATTTACCCATTTCCCTATTGATGGACCTTTATGCTTTTCAATCTTTTGCTATTATCAACACTACAAATAATAATAATAATAATAATAATGATGATGATAATAATAAATCTTTAACCTCATATTTAAAAACCTCTGCAAAGGGGCCAGCAGGTAAAGTGGTGGTCAATGTGCTGGGATCTCATATGACTGAAAGCAGTTCAAGTCCTGTCCCTATGGCTTGAAAGTCACACTGGGTACGTGTGTGACCATACCCAAGATCCTGAGAAGGGAATGGAAGAGAAGGGATTATGGCATGGCCATCACCCCGGGGGGGGTGATTTCTCACTTTTGGTCTTTCTGTCTCTCTCCAGTGAGCACACATGTCCTATGACAAAAACTTAAAACATAAATAAAGATAAAATAAATAAAAACTTCTACAAAATGTATATACTCAGAATTAGAATTGCCAGGTCACATGGGATGTGTTACCTATTTATGTATATAAAATATTGCCAGATACTGATGTATCCATTCACAGTAATATCTAAGAGTTGCTACTAAAATTCATTTTTAAAAAATTTCTAGATTTCAAATTTTAGGGCAGTACAATATATTGGGAGTCTGCAAGGTATAGCAGAAACAGTCCAGAATGAGCGAGAGGAGGTTCTAACCTTGAGTCTGTCCTACATTCTTATAGGGATTATACAACATGCTCTTCTCTCTGTGTCCCAATGTCCTCATGTATAAATTGACGGCTTGGGACTGGAACATCTCTTAAGTTCCTTCCAGCCTTAACTTTCTGCAATCTATGTTTTAAATAATGGCTAATGTGAGAATCTCCATTCACGCAAGCATGCATTTCTTCTTTCTTGGGATCTTTATCATGCCCTAATACATCCTAGACCCTGGGTAACCATATAAACATGACCATGTCTCTGCACTCGACATCTCTTACTTGAATGGGGGAGACAGACCAGTAAATGGAGAAGTTCATGTCACTCCAGACTGAGGATGGTCAGGAAAGGCTTCCTGTTGGAAGTTTTACTCTATCTTAAGGATGAATTACAGCTGGCCAGGCTAAGTGCAAGGAAGACCATTCCAGGCAGAGAAAAGCATGGAGGCTAGAGGTGGGTTGGGGCATTTGAGGATATGTGGGAAATAATCCAGATTGATTGTCCTATTAGTTGTGGTTGGAAGAATGGCCCGAGATTCGCAGAAAGAGGCAGGCAGAGGCCAAACTGCAGATGACTTTGCCATTAAAAAAAAAAAAAAAAACATCTTGAAGTTCTTCCTGATGCTACTAAACATTTTTGACCAGGTGTCTATTTGACCCAAGAGGTAAGAGGTAACTGAGGTGGCTAAGGGCTGAGGTTCAGGTACATAAGCTTCCTGAACTAGGCAACACTCCATTATCAGGTAGCATTGAGGGTGGAGAGTTGCACTCAAGGTTCTTGGACATGTGAGGTACCTTTTACCATTCTGAAGATCTAAGAAAGATTTAAGAGAGGGCACAGGTGGGAGCTGGCCACATGGCAGGTGAGAGCTCCTTAGCCCCTTACAGAACTGTTCATATATCCTATGGGGCCCAGAGATTGCTGGGGTTGAAGCGGCATCTGAGTAACCCACTTAATTTTTATCCCTTCATTTTCCACTTGGCTCTAGTATCAAATTGTGGACACTATTCCTGATCTCTAGAAATAGCAAGAGGTCTTCCCTACTGCCAAGGCTGGAAGTGCTGGATGCAAACCATTTCTGTCTTTGTTCATGAAGGCCCATGCCATATGGAACTGACTAGAAAGTCTTCCAGATTGTCTGAGAGGTTGCATCTCTTATCTTCACAGTTTTGGTTAATCTCTCAGGGGAGGACATTAGATTGGCCTGCTAAGGTCTGGTTTTTGTGTTTTGTTTGTTTTGTTTTGTTTTGTTTTGTTTTGTTTTGTTTTGTTTTGCTATAGAACTGTGTGCTCACATCACTCCCCAGGGGGAATGACCATGCCACAATCCCCTCTCATTCGGTTTCCTCTAGAGATTTTGGGCATTCACGCACTTGTGCCTGGCGTGATTTTCAAGCCACTGGGTTCAGGACTCAAACCATGTAGTCAGCCATGTCAGATTCAGTGCCTTAACC